TATGGTCTCTCCGTGGGCATGTTTAACCCTCACAGATCTCCAGTGAGTCGGAGGAGTTCATCGTGGAGCAGTACAAGCGCCTCCGCCAGCGCGACGGCGCCGGGGGCGTGTCCAAGTCCGCCTGGAGGATAACGGTGCGGCAGCTGGAGAGCATGATCCGCCTCTCGGAGGCCATGGCCCGCATGCACTGCTGTGACGAAGTACGCAACACATCAAACGACATCTAATGATGATATGGGGAAAAAAGGGAATTTAAAAAATAAGCGACTTAAAAACGCTGAGCTCAAAAACTGCGGTCTATCCAGGTGCAGCCCAAACACGTGAAGGAAGCCTTCCGCCTCCTCAACAAGTCCATCATCAGGGTGGAGACGCCTGACGTCAACCTGGAGCAGGAGGATGAGCTGGAGGAGGAGGAGCCGCCGCAGGAGGAAGGTGCGACCGCACCTGTGGATTCAGGACGCCATCCTAGGGGAAGCTAACGCGTTTGAATTAGCTGATTTATTTATTTATGATGTTTCTGTAGGAGACAATGTCCCGAATGGAGTGAACGGAGGGGCGGACGGCATTAATGGCCATGTTAATGGTGTGAACGGCCACGCCGAGGCCCAGCCCAAACCCTCCCTCCGCCTGTCCTTCTCCGAGTACAAACGCATCTCCAACCTACTGGTCCTCCACCTGCGCCGAGCCGAGGAAGGTAAGGAGCCTCTGCGTCGGTCAAATCTTCTCTTTCCTCCTCCTGATTCCACCATCGATCAACCCCCCTATGCTGTTCTTTATTCATCAATCTGTCCCCGACAGCTGAGGAAGAGGCCGAGCTACAGAAGACCGCCGTGGTGAACTGGTACCTCAAGGAGATCGAGTCGGAGATCGACTCCGAGGAGGAGCTGATCAACAGGAAGGGTCTGATAGAGAAGGTCATCCACAGGCTGGTTCACTACGTGAGTCGAGTTTTCGCAAACGAAGAGTAGAGGTTCAAATGAAATGTTACGCAAACAACAGGCCTGTCCATTTACGCCAAGTTCTGCACATATGGATTTTCCGTAGGATCACATTCTCATCGAGCTGTCTCGGGCGGGGCTGAAGGGCTCCGAGGCGGCGGGCCCAGAAGAAGAAGCTGTCCTGGTCGTCAACCCAAACTATAGCCTGGAGGACTAAACTGTCTTTTACATAGAATGTTCATAAAGGATTTGGAGATAATGTTAGACTTTTTTTCTAGTTGAACTGGGCTGTACAAACACACAATTTTGCAGGCTATTAAGAAAAAAAAAAGATATTGTAAATATGTCTCTCCCATTTGTCGAAACTGAACTGTCATTTAAATGCTCTCCACAACTATGAGAAACATGGGCCAACAGCATAGTTTCTCTTTTTTCTCTTTTTTCATTGTAATATTATGAAGTAAAGTGTAAACTTGTAATGTTCTTCTGAGCAATAAAAATGTTTCTGCTAATACTTTTCCCTGTCTTGTACTCTAACATAAATCATTTTTGGTATGAATTCTTGGAACGCAATGCTTATGTTATCCGCAAGGGGGCTCCACATTGCACTCCTATAAAACAATGCGCATGCCCAGTCGTTATCAAACAAATATGGCGGCCTCCTGTGTGATAGCTGTCCGAACAGCACTTACAGGTAAAACACTTGAATTCGATGAGTCTTTGTAAAACAATGTTTTTAAGAACCACGAAAGATGCTGTAAATCATCAATATTAATGTTTGTCAAATATTTTATCATTTTCCAACTGGATTTAACCTCTATTGTACCCGTCGTTAACGTGTCTGCAGAGGTGACTGAAGTCTTTCTCAGAATAGTTTAAAAAATATTGAATGTGTTCTTTAAGGGTTGCCGCTTGTTTTCGGCCGTTCGGCCCTGACGAAGAGCAGGCAGATCCCCACAGTGTGCCACCGTTTACGGCTCCATGTCTCCGCCGCCCCGCTGTGCAGCTCCGGGACGAAAAGCTCAGCCAAAGCCCGGGAGGAGGAGCTGGAGGAGGAAGAACCGGAGGGTCCCGAATACATCCCCAGGAGAAAGGCCAAGAACCCCATGATGAAAATAGGCTATGCTTGGTGAGTTTAAACGAGTTTAAACGTGCAAATCGGTTATCTGGCCGGTAAAGAACCCGTAGAGGAAGTAATCTGAGTTATAGAACATTCTACTCCCATCAGGAAAGAGGTCAGATATGATCAGACCATCCTGGTACTTATCTTATAAAAGTATGGCCACAATGTTTGTGATGTGACAAAGTCATTCTTGTAGTTCCTGTAGTTTGATGATGAACAGGGCTGCTGTAGGTGAGCTCTGGAAGCTTTTTGCAAACTTTCTGTCAGATTTTTTTTTATCATCCATATTCTAAATGACACAATATTGTATAGTTATCATTATGAGATTGCCTTGTGCTTCGGATTGGACAAGTTTTAAAACCTTTTGTAACATGAACACTAAGCAAAAGGACAGTATTTTGAAAAATTCAAGTACAGTGGGGGAAATAAGTATTTGACCCCTTGCTGATTTTGCAGGTTTGCCCACTTACAAAGAATGCAACAATCTATAACTTTAATCATATGTACATTCTAACACTGAAAGACAGAATCCCAAAGAAAATTCCAGAAAATCACATATGAATTTATAAAAATCGATAACCATCTGATGAGGAAAAGTAAGCAAAATCAGCAAGGGGTCAAATACTTATTTCCCCCACTGTATATAAATATATATATCATAGCCAGCAGATTCTTCTGAGACGAGCTGCTTTTCTTTATGTTGATCTTCTGTTCTGCAGAGCACGTTTGAATTCTGCTATAAAGCGGCACATTGATACAAACCCTATAAGAAATGAACCTGCTCTGTGATGCTGAAAGTAGAGTTCTCTGGTTCTGCCTGAAATTCATGTGTATGTGTAGATAGTTTTTAAAAATCTGTTTCTGTCTTTGTGTCTGGCCTCTTTTAACGGCCCTGGCTGCCACATTCTGAGTCCACTGTTCCAACCCATACGTGTGCCTCTCTGTCCAGGATGATAGGCCTACCAACCGGAATAATCGGCTTCCTATTGGCCAAGAGACAAGTGGACAAAAACCGACTGAAGCAGCTCAAGGTCCGACAGAGAATGAAGCGGTCGAACGAAGGAGATTACGAGGGGAGTCGGTACCAGCACCACGCAAAGGATGTTAAACTGGACCAATGACGCAGCATCATACACCCGAGGGACACTCGGATTACTGCTTAAAGACAGTTCAAAGAGGGGGGAAAGTGCGATTAATGTGTATTTAGACAAAAATCACTCAGATCAATGTACAGAAACTGAAAAAGAGAGAAGAAAAAAATCTTTATTTAATATTAAAATGCAAATAAATCCTGTCCATGAAATATATGTATATTTACAAGCATTGACCTACAATTACCTCTGTGCTTTACGGACACAACGTTGGCCTCTGTTGATCTGAGTAAATGACTGTATGCAGGTTTCGTTTCTGTGTGTCTAGAATGGCTGAATGTGTTGCACAGCGGAAAAAAAAACAAAAACCCCACTGACACTCACCGTGTGCCCCTGATATGACTGAGTGGGCACCAAACCAGACAGGCACCTGTGCAATAATGTAACAAAAGCTTACCATCAATAACTCTGTACTTCGTAAGGAAAAAAAACATGTTTCCTAAGAGTTTCTGTCATCTTAAAGGCACTATATTTGAAAATGAGTATAACGACTGCAGCTATAGCTGCTGAACTGAGCTATACTGTGCTATACGGGGGGACATGTCCCACCCACAAAGCCCTCTATGGGTACTGAAAACTGATGATTAGAGCCCAGCACTCACTACGGTACAGCTGGATCAGCAAGATTTCTCAACATTTATATGAAACAGAGTAATCGAAGCAGAGAAAAAAATGTGTTCTGATACAAAAATAAAGGACGTGGCGCGTCATTACTTAAAGCAGGCGTAAACACCTGTGAGCAAAAAGTGCAATTTTTTTCTACACAAACACAAAATGTCAATTCAGCCTTTTGGCAAATTCCCTGGGTTTTGTCATGATTTGGCATGGGGAATAAAAAAATAAAAAAAAGAAGTATGTTTGATTTGGCCTTCAAAGGCTTCCGTCGGTTACTTCATGAAAGAGCCGATGATTTGCAGCAGGAAGATGAAGATCTGGACGATGTCCACGTAGATGGAGAGCGCGGCAAACACGTACTCCTCCGGGCTGATGGAGTGCTTCCTGTTGCCTATGATTAGCTGGGTGTGATACGCCAGGAACTAAAAGAAACCGAGCACAAAGCAAGATAGTGCACTCTCTCACGGTTCTTTACATATCGGGACATGGAGACTGTTCTGGAAGCTACTAGATCATGAGGTGGAGCACTCACCAAAGTGAAGGCGATGGCTCCCATGGCGGCGTAAAGCATGTGAAGCCACAGCATCTGTGGAAGCCAGAGGGCAGTTACCAGGCCGGCCTCTGAAAAGCGCCGGATCAGCGTTCTTTTTTCCTCTTTCTTTCTTCACACTCACATATTTGAAGGACAGCACGATGGCTGTGATGATGCCGGTCACGAACATCACGATCCCCAGCACGCAGAAGAGGCCCTGGCACTTGGTGAAGTCGACCTTTGTGGGGGGGGGGGGGCAGACATGTTAGGACGCGCCGCGGGCGCTCGGAGAAGAGCGGCGGGCGGCACGCACACGCACCTTCGTCTGGAAGCAGAAGACGGTGACGGCCACGCAGACCACCGCCGTGATCCCCAGGGCCAGAAAGACGGCTTTTGTCGCGTAGTGGCTTGAATCAAAGGGAGACGCTGAATTAGCCCAGCAGAAGAAAAGGGAAATGCTTCAGACATTTTGTTTGCTTCTTTATTACCTGGATATGGACCCCGTCATGTAGGACAAAGCCAGTGTCTGTAGGGGGAAAAAACAAAAAAACAATAGGAATCCAAGGGGGGAAATTAAGAAAGAAACTAAAGTAATCTAAAGCCTCGATAAACTGACGGACCAGAAACAAAATAAAGAAAAAAAAGAAGAGTCTGGAGATAATCTGAGATG